TTTGTATTAGAGCTTTTCTGAGCAAATAGACACTGACTGCCCAGATAAACAGCTTTCTGAAATGTCATTTCCCTCAACACCGACCTCAGGACAGACGGGTCAGGGAGGAGGAGACGGTATCCGACTCTGCTATAAGGAACCAGCATCACTTCATGATCGTCATATTCTGTAATTCTCTACAATCGCTCTGCAGTTAAACTGTCAGCCAGCAATCCTGACGTTAGATGGAAGTCCAGCCGAGTTCTTCGGTGAAAAGCCTGAGGAGCGTCAGCCGAGAGCCAGAGGAGGGGAATAAAGCAGCTCCTTCTTAACTGCCATTTGGATATTAGTTGAACGCTTCCATTAAGTGCCTCCTCAGTATGGCATTTTTACTGGCGGCTCCACTTAGAGCTCCATTTAAAGCCCCTCTCTCGCCGCCCTGATCGCCCGCGCCGCGTAAATCTCTCTCAGACTGACTGCAGGAAATGATGGAGGGAACAGAGGCCAACTCGGAGGAGAAGCGAAGGAGAGATGAACGACGAACAAGAGGGACGTCAGAGGCGGCAGACCGGATCGTTTGAGCCGCATCACAGTTCATCATTATCGTTCTGTCATCATTATAATGATGGTTTTTTATTTAAGGCTTAAATCTTCACATTGAATTTTATGGAATTTTAAACACTGGAAAGTGTAACAGGCTGCAGTGGAACCTTTTACGCTGCATAGAACGACTGCAGCAGTGATGAAATGGTGTTGTAGCGTATTATAGCACTCAAACTCTGAGCTACAACAGCCTTCTTTTACTTTCCTGCACTGTCACGACAAAAGCCTCGTTCAGACTGACAGCCCAATCTGATTTTTAGCAGTACAAATTGATTTTTCATAGTCTGGAAAACAAAAAACGCGAGTTCTGATTTTTAGCATATCCAGATCATATCCAGATTGTATCCAGATTGATTTTTGATATTCTGGTCAACATAAAACACATGAATTCTGATTTTTGGCATATCTAGATTGTATCCAGATTGATTTTTGGTATTCTGGAAAACACAAAAACACACAGTATGATTTTTGGCATATCCCGATCATATCTAGATTGTATCCAGGCTAGATATGGATAAGTCTGGATGGCAAAAACCACAAGAAATCTAGTTTAAAATGCGATGATTTTTACAGATGTGTCTCTGTCTGATCCACTCAGACCAGCGCAACACACACTAACACACCACCACCACATCAGTGTTACCCCACCTGCTCTGTGAGGGTCCATGGGGGTCCTGACCACTGAAGAACAGGGTAACAAAGTATCAGAGAAACAGATGGACTACAGTCTGTAACTGTAGATCTACAGAGTGGAACTACACGGTCAGTGGAGCTGATAAAGTGGACAGTGAGTGTAGAAACAAGGAGGTGGACTTAATGAAGTGGCCGGTCAGTGTATAAGACAATATATAATCATGTTGAATTAATTGTGTTTACCCGACCTTTTTAGCAACTGTTAAGGCCAGTTTATAAACCGTGGTGGACAGATGTGGCAGCGCAGTGGGCTTTAATAATCCTGCACCAGCAACGAAACCTTGGAACAGAGCATCATCTGTGGTTTCTATGACGATGCAGCTACTGAAAGAGCTGCTACAGTCAAACTGCGTTAACAGTAGGATTTTAAGCTGCAGGATCGCTACAGCAACCAGACGTACTGCTTATTTTCCACACGATGTGTTTCACTCAAGTTCTTTCTCCGTCACGCCGGGTTGCCAGATTTGCAGTTTTCCCAAAATTCTGGTTATTCTGAAAGTGCGCTGTGTGGGGAAATTACACTGACATGGGTTCGTTTTCTGCCTGGACTGTTGTTTAAAACAATCACGGTCGCGGACAAAGGTTTGAAAATATAAACAAATCGGCTTATGAATGTATATTTATCCTAGTTCTGAATATCTGACAACCTGTTCTGTTTCTGACAGCAGTGGAACAGCAAGAAAGCAGACACAGCCGCACATAGTGGCCACGGCAACAGTCCAGAACGTGGAACTTTCAGTTTGTATCCAATCAGAGCGACAGCATCTGCTCCCTTTCAAGGACAAGGACTGTGTCACCCTAGCAGACACAAATTTTGTCTTTTACGTCATTCGGCGCCCAGATTATAAACTGGCCGTACAGCTCGGCCCTCGGTCTGTTACAGTTAAACCCACCCATCACTGCCAGTTGTTCATAATCAGTGCTCGAAACAAAACTTATGTTTCTATTCACAATAGAAATGTAGTGTTTATTTATACAAATCACTTTTAAAATTAATAACCAAAAGCTTTGGTGTGAAATGGTTCAGATGTCTTTACAGTGGTGGTGATAGGAACCAGGGGTCGCCATGACTACAACACAAATATAGACATTTTATTTACTATCCAGAACCACCAGAGAACCTACATGAGTCTTCTGAGTTTATATGGAATGTTGATGATGGAAAATAGTGGAAAATCTGAAATAATAAGTTTTCTTTGGGGACTATTTTGCCTCACAGTGCCCTGCATGTATCCCTCCACCATGAATGGAGTTTAAGTTCTCTAAACTATCATAAAACAGTGTCTCAGTCATCAGGCAGTGAATTCATAACCATTTCATGTAGGAACTTTCTGTGAGGGAGCTTTTAGAGGTGGACGTCTGGTTCCTATCACCACCACTGTGAACAGTTCTGACTCGGTAAGTTTATCTAGAACGGAGCGTTTCACACCAAACCACTCTGAACCACTCTGAACCGCTCTGAACCGCTCTGAACCACTCTGTGTACATCTTTACATTTGGGAATTTTGGATAAAGATGTGAGATATTTCGCAAGTTTGTTTTACACCGATTTGGAAACCGCCTCTCCCTACACAGCAGGGTTAAACAACAGTATGTGGTTCACCAGTCAAGCGGCCGGTTCCTGTCAAAGTATTTGTTTCTTAGCCAATCCCATCGGAGCACTAGTGAAAATTAGTGTTTAATTGTTCTTTTCATAAGAAGGCGAAGGTTTCTGCATTACTCACTGCTATATTAGTATATTTTTGTTATTATATGAGGTAGTTAAATAAATAAAGAGTTCAAAAAATCAAACTGCGCTCGTTCAGGGTGGATTTGATGGAGAAGCCTTATTTATTAAGAGGAATCAGTGCTGCTTCAGTTCAACATGTGAAGATCAGAGTTGTGAAATATGACACTTTTGCTGTCAGTTGTATTTTTTATGGAAACAGCTATACAAACACTTTGAAGTTGTGTGCCAACATCTAATAAAGGACTTTAATATCTTTTAATAGATACAGTTACAGAAATAGAGTTGCTAATATTCCAAGAAGATTCTCATGCATAGATCTTAAATCTTAAAGTCTGGAGTGATCGTCACTTTACAGTGCTATTCAAATGTGAGGATATAATTAAATACTTACATATTCACACAATGAGTTACATTAACGTTAGATTTCCACTCTGTATGCAGGCTCGAGTGGAGTCAGGCTCGAGTCTGCGCCTCTGACTTTTTGCTTGTTTTGATGTTTAAAACACTCCAATCGTATAACTTTTTTCAGTCCATAACACAAGACTGCACACACAACAGCACATCTTCACTTTTTCAGTTAACTTTCCACACAATTTCTCCACTCAGTTCAGTCAGAAATAATTCATAAACAATTACAGTGTAAGTCTGTTATCACTGAACTGCCAAGATTTCAGATTTTCAGATTTTTTCCATAATTCACTGGTTCAGATGTAAAGAACCGTGGTTGAGAAGGAGATTTGTGAGAGTGGAGAATCATTTTAGGGTTTAAAGAACCTTCACCTAGTACAAAGGTTCTGTGCCAATTCATGGAGGTTCTTTAAACTTTTTGAAAGGTTCTTTACACTCATGCAGCTCCTTTATGTTTGAAAAGAGGTTTGTTAGGGAGCCAAAAGGGGTTTATGTAAAAAGAAAATCCTTTCCAGCTGCCTTATTTTTGTAGCGTTGTTTAACGGAATAGTTTTAAATGCTAATGTTGCTAACAGTGAATGAAGGTGAATAGCCACTGGTTAGCATTATGCACTATGTTTCAAAAAATATATACAATACAATATATAGTATGTTTAGCAAAAATATGACAAAAATAAAACTGTAACTCCACATTAAATTAAATTAAATTAGCAAACTTTAAACTCCAGGTTTAAAGGGAATTCCACTGATTTACCCAAATCCCTCCATAACTCAGTGTGTGAGGTGTAATCAGAGAGATTCAGAGTGGTTTGGTGTGAAATGGTTCAGATGTCTTTACAGTGGTGGTGATAGGAACCAGGGGTCGCCATGACTACAACACAGATATAGACATTTTATTTACTATCCAGAACCACCAGTGAACCTACACGAGTCTTCTGAGTTTATATGGAATGTTGATGATGGAAAATAGTGGAAAATCTGAAATAATAAGTTTTGTTTGGGGACTATTTTGCCTCACAGCGCCCTGCATGTATCCCTCCACCATGAATGGAGTTTAAGTTCTCTAAACGATCATAAAACAGTGTCTCAGTCATCAGGCAGTGAATTCATAACCATTTCATGTAGGAACTTTCTGTGAGGGAGCTTTTAGAGGTGGACGTCTGGTTCCTATCACCACCACTGAGAACAGTTCTGACTCGGTCAGTTTATCTAGAACAGCGTTTCACACCAAACCACTCTGAACCGCTCTGATTACATCTTAACCACTTAATCATCTGGGAATTTAGGATAATTTGGTGGAATTCTCCTTTGAAGATGCACTGTTTGGGGAGTTGAGGTGTTTCTGGGTTCTGCTGGTCTGTAAGCACTTTTACAGGATGCTGTTTGTTGTGTGTAGCTAAGCTGCAGTGATATCTACCATCAGCATCTAAACTCTCTTTACTCTGCTTCTTTTACAGCCTAAAGCGTGTCCAGAAACGCTCGTTATCTCTCAGAGCTAATTTACTCTCTCTGTCTGTCTGCCTGTCTGTCTCTCTCTCTGTCTCTCTCTCTCTCTCTCTGTCTCTGTCTGTCTCTCTCTCTCTCTCAGGGCTGAGCCGATCCTGGCGAGAGTTAAAGAAGATCATACGAGGATAATCCTCCCAGCCATAGATAACATCAAATACAACACCTTCGAGGTGCAGCAGTACGCTAACGCTGCTCACGGCTACAACTGGGGGCTCTGGTGCATGTACATCATCCCCCCTCAGGACTGGCTGGACAAAGGCGACGAGACCGCCCCCATCAGGTACAGGCAGCCGGTTAGCTTCTACATAATGCATGACGAACTTTCACTGAAATATGAACATGACCCATTAATATTTCAGGTTTGAGCTCAGAGAGATGCTTCAGACTCGGAATAGAGACGCTTCCACTGTTTTTACCTTTTTGAAAAGATGCCTTATGAAACTTTTTTTTTGTTAGTTTTTTTGTGGAAATGCAATTTTTTGGACTCGCATAAGCTTCGAACTAAGCATTTCATCTTCATTTCCTTTATTATTCCTTAATTCATCAAATTATTATTATTATTATTATTATTATTATTATTCATTACTATTATTGGTTGTACTATTGATATATAGATGTAATATATCTTTTATACACCATGTTTTTTAAAATTTCTAAATTGCAAATTTTGGGGGGAATTTTCCAGATTACCATTATTTTTTTCTTGCACAAAATTACATACAACATCAAATGCTTACCATTGCTATCAATTCTGAAATGCACTGAAACTGAAATACACAAGCTTTAAAATATGCGTTTTTGTCTTTCATCAATTTTTATTTTTTTATTTAAATTTTTTTATAAAATTTTATTTAAATGTATCTTTGAAATTATTACTATTATTATTTTTTAATGCTCCTAATTCAGTTTTCGCTTTACATTACAACTTCATTTATCATTTATCTCGATGTACATACTACTTTTTTATTTTTTTGTGAATTCACCAAATCGTATCTTATTTATTTTTTGATTGATTGATTAATTGATTCGGTTCACCAAACCTTTTTTTTTTTTCTCTCAAAATTTTTGCATTTTTGCTAAACTACACTTTTCATTCATTCAGGAAACTAAACTTAAAAGGTTTCTTTAAGCCAAAGCTGAAGCTGTACTGTCTGCTGGTCTGTCCTGAAACTGGACTCATGCTTGTCCAGTTTGGTCTCCTGCTGAACGTGTTGAAACGCTCTGCAGGTCTAAAATCTGTGCCGATGCCAAAGCTGGGATAAAATATCAGACCGGCAGAAGTGACATTAATAATTCATAACCCAGACGGGGAGGAAAGGGAAACATGACCGGTCCAGTATTACTGCAGATGACCCCCACTTTCACTTTACATCTATATTTACCGTCTCAGACTGAGGCTTTGATAGGATCGATGTTCTGATGCTGTGTTCTCCAATAACACCGTCAAGGACAGTTTTCTGGAAAGAGCTGGTAGAAAATATCACATTCACTGTTAATTTAACCTAAAGATGGTTCTTCTGAATATAGAACCATTATCTGTTACTAAGAAAAAGATAATGGTTCTAAGAACCGTTTGCATGGTGAAATGATTCAGATTGAAGAACCTGGAGAATGTGTTGTATATGGTTCTATACAGCACCGAAAAGAGTTTGGCTATTGTTACAGTGTCAAGCTTGTATACAATAGAAGAAGCCTTTTTGGTGCTTTATAATAATAATATAATAATACTACTACTACTACTACTATACTAATAATAATAATAATAATAATAATAATAATAACATTGATATAGCACCATTTAAAACACCCAAGGACACTGTAGAATAAGATCAACAAGATAAAATAATTAAATAAACAAAATAGAAGACAAGTTACAATACGGATCAGTTTACAAACAAGGAAAATAAAGTGATAAATAAAATACAACCAAAAGCCAACTGAACCCAACTCTGTATAGAACCATATACAACACGTTATCCTTCAGTCTGAAGAACCATTTCATCATGCAGATCATTCTTCGAGAGTTTGTAGTTCTGTATGGAACCTTTGTCTTTACTGAAGAACCCTTGGAGAGGCATCTTTTGTGAGAGGGTGAAGTCAGAGTGATCTCCAGTGGTGAGAAGTCGAGCTGAAGCTGAGTGTGAATTACTTCTGATTGTGCAGAAAGAGCAGATTGTAAACTTGCAATCCACCACATTAGTGTCTGCATGTAAAAGAGATCATTTGAATTTGATTAAAAATAAATTGTTGTCCCTCTAGTTTGGCTTCACAAAACCATTTTCACATCATCATTTTTTTTGGTAAACAGAAGTTAAGGCGCTCTGGGGTTCATCTTAAAGTTAAGAAAATATTTAGGATATTTTGGCGACTTAGGATGTTTCTGTAAACCTGTTTTCTTATAAGGAAATAAGATTATAGATTTAAGAACTGTTGTTGTGTAAAGGCTTCTGTTCTACATTCAGTCTTAACTGAAGTTACCATGACAACAAAGCAGATAAAATATGATCTCAGACTTAAGAATTTTCTGTAATACGGCCCCTGGTTCCTGTCACCACCTCTGTGAACAACTCTGACTCTAGAACGGAGTGTTTCACACCGAACCACTCTGAACCTTCCTTTTCATTTTAACATCATAACCATTTATTTATGCAGAGAATTTTGAAATTCAGTGGCATTCCCCTGTGTGTGTGTGAAGTTGTGTAGTATACGTCAGCGTTTACAGGGATACTTTTTGTCCTGCGTGTTGTAAACAGTGAAAGTCAGTCATCTCTGACAGGCAGTCTGAATCAGCGGTGTGGGGGGGTGGGGCTCGTCTGAAGCGTCCAACTGTCTGTAGGTCCAGCTGCAGCGTATCATTACAGCAGCGGAGCTCCACATCCAGCTCCTTCAGCTGCTCAACAGCTCACCTGCTTACTTTACTACATTTAGGACATATTATTATTGCTTATTGATTGTTATATATAATGTACCTACATAATAATGCCTGCACCTAATTATGCACAACCCCATTTCCAAAAAAGTTGGGACGCTGTGTAGAATGTAAATAAAAATTAAATGCAATGATGTGCAAATCATGTAAACCATATTTTTAAAGGAAAATCCTACAAAGACAACATATCAAATGTTGTAACTGAGAAATTTTATTGTTTTTTTGAAAAATATATGCACATTTTGAATTTGATGCCAACAATACGTTCCAAAAAAGTTGGGACGGGGGCCTGTTTACCACTGTGTTTCATCACCTCTTCTTTAACAGCACTCTGTAAGTGTTTGGGAACTGAGGAGACACTGCTGTAGTTTAGAAAGTGAAATGTTTTCCTGTTCTTGTTTGATACAGGATTTCAGCTGCTCATCAGTTCAGGGTCTCATTTGTCGTATTTTTCATTTAATAATGCGCCAAATGTTTTCAGTGGTGACAGGTCTGGACTGCAGGCAGGTCAGTTTAGCACCCGGACTCTTAATACGGAGCAATGCTGCTGTAATACATGCAGAATGTGGTTTTACATTGTCCTGCTGAAATAATCAAGGCCTTCCCTGAAAAAGACGTCGTCTGGATGGCAGCATATGTTGCCAAAACATTTATATATAGTTCAGCATTAATGGTGCCTTCACAGATGAGCACGTCACCCATGCCATGTGCACTAATGCCCCCCTACACCATCATGAATACTGGCTTTTGAACTGCACTGATAACAAGCTGAGTGGTCTTTAGCCTGGAGGACACAGTGTCCATGATTTCCAAAATGGTATGGTATTGTATATGTATGTATGTGTATACATACATATACACACACACACACACACAGAACACATGAACCCATATCCTGCCATTGTTTGAAAACAGAATGTATGCATGTCTTTTTCCTTTTTTTCCTGTTTTTCTGATTCTGCCATCAACAGTCATAATCCAGCCTGGCAGATCAGAGACAGTTTTTTTTTTTTTGGCTCCACACAAAGAAAATTCATTTCAATTTTTCTAAAATAGCCCAAATGCTGTTTGCAAAAGCGACGCCACCTCCAGCGTCTCTTGAAATCTTCATAAGCCAAACGAAATCAATACTGGCACAGATGAGCGATTTTTAAAAGCACACCGAGTTTCTGAAGCACTTCTGCTTTTGACGTTCTTTTGTTATCAGACGCAACAGAACGGTTTCTGTAAATACAACAGTTTTCCTCTCTCAGCCTTCAGAGTGTTCATCTGTCAGAATAAAGCAGAGTTCTCTCTCTGATGGTCGGGAGAGCTTCAGACAGAGCGCTCGCTGACCCTGAGCTTGCAGAACAATAAAATCTGCTCCACAGAAAAGCTTTCTTTATAACAACAGCTGCGGAAACACGTGCAGCTGTTCAGTCGATCCTCACAGTTTAGAACAAACTTCAGACCAGTCTGCTCTTCCACAGGCGCTCTGTTGTTTTTGTATGATTGTACAGAAGTGTTTTTTTCTAAGGTTGGATTTACGCAGTGAAACCTGCATGCAACTTTAGTTGCTAGAAATTTACAGGAAATAAAATTGCACTTGATTTGCATAATGAAAAGCGTCCTGCAACTCACTTGAAACTCAGCCGTAACAGTTGCGAGCAACTGAACTTCGTGAAACAAGTTTCATGAAACAGCTAATCAGTACACATCATGTAACCACATCAAACCACATCTATCACATGACGATTTCACCTGATCAGTGGACAAGAAAATAAAGCAGAAGATAGTTTGTTGTTTTATAGATTGGTAGTTGGTAGTTTTTCCTTTTGTCAGTTTTCAAAGCCACAAACAAACTTTTTCATGTTTGTTTCAAAGCCAAAAAATGACACAAACAACCATTTTTTTCTGCAAAGCAAATTTCATCAAATTATAATAAAATATCTCCACTTGGACTCTCCCTGGCTCTGCCCACTCTCCTCCTCTCCCACACGCCTGCAGCTCATTCTACGGACATTAATATTACCCCTGTATATGAAAACCACTGTGTTATGGGAAGTCTCTGTGTTTAATACCTGAGTTCTCAGCCTGTTTGTGTTTGGTCTTCCCTGGTTTTGACTGCTGCTACTCTTTGTTTTGTCTAAATATGGATCTACATCTTTTCCTGCCTGCCTGCCTGTGTTGACCCCTGCCTGCTCCGACAGTGAGCATCAGAATGCCTCTAATAAAGTCACTCCACACGTACAACCTGCCAGTGTTACAGTATCTCCTCTTCTGCTTACAAAGATTAAGGTGTAAAATCCACACTTACCACACAGTGAGCGACGAGTCAGACATGATTCTTATAAAATTACAGTCATTAGACATCGCTCGCTAAAATTGTAAACGTTTTCACTCACTTATGCAGTTAGTTAGGTTTTCACTTTGAAAATCAGCAAAACATAAATACAGTAAAATAAAAGTAAAGTAAACGCAGCAAACGTTTTGATAAATATGCTTAATGAATCAAAATCAATATGTTCAAAGAAAATCAATGAAATTCTGACCCTCACTCAACCACTCTGACTTAAATTCACCTTATTCATTAGACAGTGGTGAGTGGTGAGGGGAAGAGAGAGAAAAGAAAGTGAGTGAGAGAGAGAGACAGTTAGAGAGATAGAGTGGAAGCAGCTGCCCAGTTTACTGCACTTCCTCTTCTCTCTCTCTCTCTCTCTCTCTGACTCATCTGTCCCCCCAGATGACCCATTTCTCCACCGTGGGCTGCTTTAGCTGAAATTCACATCCTGCCCCTCCTGCTCTGTTACTGTCTGCACTGACTGTCCACTTTTTAATGTATGTCTGACTTGTAGCTAAACTCATTGGCCATTATATTAGAAACACCTGCCTTAAAGATGCAGTGACATAGCTGTGTGTGTGTGTGTGTGTGTGTGTGTGTGTGTGTGTGTGTGTGTGTGTGTGTGGCACTCGTGTAACTGCACCGATGGATGAGTGGATGAATTGAGGATGGATAGATTTTGGAAGAGCTGGATAGATGGAAGAATTTAAGATGCATTGTTATGATAGGTGAATGAATGGGGATGAGTGGGTGGTTGGTGGATGGATGGATGGATGAATGCATGGTTATGATAAATGGATGGGTAGATGAATAGATAGTTGGGGGAATGATGGGTGGGTGAGTAAATGCATGGATGATGGGTGAGTGGTGCATGGTTATGAAAAGTGGATGGATGATGGATGGATGGATGGACACGTAGATGGATGGATGAGTGAGTGGGTGAGTGGATGGATGGTTGTGACAGGTGGATGGACAGGTAAACCAATGGATGGATGAAAGATTTTGATCAGCAAATTCAGACACCAAAAATCTTGACCACGTGGAAGGAAGGATGGGTGGTTAGGTAGGTGAGTGGGTTGATGGAAGGATGGATGAATGAGTGAGTGGATAATTGGTGGATGGATGTGTGGTAATGATAGGTGGATAGGTAGAAGACTGTAAGGATGATTGGATGAATGGATAGATGATTGGTGAAAGGATGAATGGTGTTACAGGTGGATTGGTACATGTATGTATAGATGAATGAATTGGTGGGTGGATGGATGGATGAATGATTGGTGGATAGATGGGCGTGGTAGATGGGTGGGTTGATGGATGGATGCGTGAGTGGGGTGGATGGATTTATGGATGGGTGGGTGAGTGGATGAATGAATGCATGGTTATGATAGATGGACTGGTAGATTGGTAGAGGGATGGATGGTGGGTGCAAAGATGCATGGTTACGACAGGTGGATTGGGGGATGGATGGAAGAATGCGTGGGTGCATGGATGAATGAATGGTAGATGGATGTGCGTGGTTATGATATGGTGGGTTGGTAGATGGATGGATGGATGAGTGAGTGGGGTGGGTGGGTTTATGGATGGGTGCGTGGATGATGGTTATGATAGATGGACAGGTAGATTGGTGGAGGAATGGAAGGATGGACGGATGGATTGATGGTGGGTGAAAGGATGGTTATGACAGGTGGATCGGTAGATGGATCCATCCTTCTAATTTAAAGAAATCCTTCAGGGAAATATATATTTTACACTTACAGTCATGCAGTTAGCACTGTGCTAATTGGTGTACATAAGCTTCCATTACTTGTTAGCTATATTAGCCTCAAAGCTCCAGTGCTAAAACTAAATAAGCATCGTTCAGACACCAAACGCGTCTTTATCAGTCAGCTGTATCTGGGATATCAGATAAATTAGATTTTTACTGAATAATGTCTTTAAAATGATGAAGGCTCTTGTAGTGGTGAGTTGAAGATGGAGCTGGTTGTAGAAGTGCCTGCAGGTCTGCCTGGAGGTGGAACGCTCCTGTATGCACAGTGTTGAACTTGCTAACGGTTTGTGATTTTATTTTATTTTATTTTATTTTTTTTTTGCTTTATTGAGAAGCACCTGATGAGTCTTTTATGAAGTTCAGATTGTTTTTCAGACCAGTAAAAGCTATAAAGTGCATTTCTCTATTCCTCTCTCTCTTTAACCAGGACTCCTGCCATGATCGGCTGCTCGTTTGTGGTGGACCGTGAGTACTTTGGAGAAATTGGACTTCTCGATCCGGGCATGGAGGTTTATGGAGGGGAAAATATTGAACTTGGAATGAGGGTGAGTAGCACTGTGGTCAAACCGAGACTGAATACAGATTTCGCTGTGAGCTCCGTAGAGGATATGGCTCATAACTGTTCATTTTAATGTTAGACAGTAATGCGGAGAAGGTTCCGGGTCGGGTTCTGATTTCACCTACAGGCTTCTCTCAGGTTTAGTTGGCCTGCTGTAGTGTTTAATCTGCTTTATTCTCTTTGGGATGCTGGAGTCACTTTCGGGTTGTCGTGTGAACTGTTTGCGCGTTCTTCAGGTCATTAGTGACCAAGGGACTTTAGAAATGTGAATGTATTTATTGGTAGCTGGATGGATAATGAAAGGATGGACAGAGGGTCGGAAGCATGGATGTGTGGGTATGATGGACAGACAAATGGAGGGATGGTAGATGGATAGTTGAGTAGTGAAATGAATGGATGGATTCATGGGACAATAGATGTATGAATGGCTGGGTATGATGGGTGAATGATGTTTGTTGGTTGATGGATGGATTAATCTGTCTATCCACCAATCTATCCTCCAATCCCTTGTTCACTAATGGCCTGAGGTATGTATGAACGGTTGGAGAAACACCAAAACACCGTAATTACATTTAAACTTTGACTAATGTATCATCAGCACCTTCTCAGAACTGGATCAACATTACATACTGCACTGTTCTCATATTAGCTTCATGGAAGGACATGGCAGGTGGATGGATGGACTGTTATGATAGGTGGATGGATGGTTATGATGGATACATGGAAGGATGAATGGTTATGATAGGTGGACAGATGGATGGACAGATACATGGAGGGAAATAGAAGAATAAAATAGAATTCAGAACCATTAGCCAGCTGTGTTTTGCACACAGAGGAATTAGACCTCCACATTTAACCCATCCGTGCAGTGAAACACCCACATACATGCACACTAGTGAAAATACACACTAGGGGGCAGTGAGCACACTTGCCCGGAGCGGTGGGCAGCCCTATCCACAGCGCTTGGGGAGCAGTTGGTGGTTAGGTGTCTTGCTCAAGGGCACTTCAGTCACGTACTGTCAGCTCAGGGGATCGAACCGGCGACCTTCCGGTCACAAGGCTGGTTCCCTAACCTCCAGCCCTTATGATGGATGGATGGATAGAGGGGTGGATGGATAGATGGAGAGATGATTATGATAGGTGGATAGATGGATAGGTGCATGGATCATTGATAGGTGGATGGATGGGTAGATGTATGAATGGACGGAAGATTATAATGGATGGATGGATGTTTTGAAATATGGATGATTATAATAGATTGGTGGATGGATGGATGGGTAAAAGGATAGATAGATGGGTGGGTGGATGGATGGATGGATGGATGAATGTTTATGATAAGTGGATAGATGAATGATTGGAGGGATGACAGGTGTTAGGTGAGTGGATCATTAATGGGTGGATGGAAAGATGTAAGGATGGATGGAAGATTATTATGGAGGGATGGATGTTTTGAAATGTGAATGGTTATGATAGGTGGGTGGATGGATGGATGGATGGAAAAATAAGTCAGCCATGGTTCTAGGTCTGTCACTGATTGTAAATACGAGCTGTAGTCTAAGCAGTGTTCCGGTTAGTTGTTGGGAATGTAAAACAGTGGCGGCAGCTCTATGGAGGACTCTTTACTGAGTCACTGTAACACTGATACACACAAGCTCAGATACATGATAATGTCTGTTACAGACTTTAGATAAAACACAAGGAATGACTTTTACCATCTTCAAATTTTTGTGTATTTCAGCGTTAGAGCTACATTAGACATCCCATAGGGGCGCTAGCAGAAATTTCAAAAATTGTTTTTTTTTTCTTGATTTTTAGCCAAGTTTTGGTGTTTATGGGCTAAACTGAAGGCCGAGCTCTAACAGTCACAGTTCACCACTGGTCTGTGAACATCAGTGAATAATATCATGCTTTTGTTTGCGTAATTTCAGCACTGTTTCAGGACATTAGATCCTCGTAGTAATTAGAAAGCGAGACTGTAGTTTCACATGAAATTATGATTAATTTCATCTACAAACATGCAGAATTCGGGCAAATGCTTAATCACATTTCCCTCTGTTCCTTTTCCCAAGACCTCAGACCGCTTCAGGGGTCAACAGAACGTCTGGATTTCTGGTTCCACTAGGAAATGTGCAGCCTGGAGGAAGAGAAAATAAGCTTTCCTTTCCTTTTTTCGGTGCTGAACTGCAGTGGCAGAAGGGCTATAGAGGTGTTTGAGCATTCGCAGAATGCAGATTCCTCTTTAAAAGCAGCAGTGGGTGAAATTTAACGCTAGAAGCCGCCGCTGAGTTGGAGGGGGTCTGTTTAAATTCACGAAATTCTTCCCTTTACTGGAGTGGAACGTCCTTGAAAGGGAGAGAAGATGAGAGTTATTTAGATGAAAATGCTTTCATTCACTCCAAAGCTTCTTTGCTAGAACCGCTTTCAGATTCATTACTGCGCAGGTGGAGTTCATCTTCTCAGCTCGCACTGTGTAATAAGTTCACATAGAGCATTTATCAGTCCAGCTTCTGAGAGAAAACACAGCTATTGTAAGTCTGGAGTCTTACTGCCATTTTGCTGTGCTGTTCAAGTGGAATTGCATAATTTATATGTGGAATTATACAGTTAGTTATTAAATCAGTTCATTTGAATCTGCACTTCAGACACTTTTCAGTTTGTTTTGGCATCAAAAAAATATGAAAACAATAAAAATGTTATTCTGTACACACAACAATAACTTTCCTTCAAGTTCTACTCAAAATAAAATCTATTCTACTTAAAGGACCCTACATGCTTAAAAAAGATGATTCTTTAGATGTTCTTTATTGAAGGACAGTGGTTCTGTATAGAACCACGAAGACTCAATAAACCATTTGCAGGATTAAGTGGTTCTCTGCATGGTGAAATGGTTCTTCAGATTGATGGAGAATGTGTTGTGGGGTGGGAATCTCTAGGCACCTCACGATTCGATTATGATTCAGAGGAACTGGAAGTCTCTCATTCACTGCTCTTGTTTGGAGCACATGAGACGCTGCTGCCACTCATCTGCGATAAAATGCACAGTTAACATTTGGGATGTCCACGCAGCACGTTACAGCCGTCCGGCCCATAGTAGTGATTTTATAACTTCGGTTTTGGTCTCGTTGTAGAGAGGGGGGGGTCGCTGTGTCAGTAAAGTATCTTCGAGACGGGATGTGTGCAACCTAGCGCGAAAAGCCCTGTTTCGCAACGACTGTGCAGACTGCAGGTCACATAGCAGCGATGCGTTATTCGCATTTATAAGCAGTGCAGTTGGTTTCCTGGTACGTTAAATCTGCAGCGAGAGACTGTCAAACACTAAACAGCTGTGAAGATGAAGTCGCTTCTCTTTCGAATTGTCCCATTCCACCTTAAATGGTGCCGCATTTACATTCGGCGCCTCGGTCAGATTTAAGGTGGAACGGAAAAATTCGAACAAGAAGCTGGAGAATAAAAAGCGACTTCAGCCTCGGAAAACAGTCGAACGCTGAGAGACATTTTACAATAAGCTGATCTAGTTTTGAGTAAAGTTTTCTGGCGGAGAAAAGCGGCTATTAAAGCTTAAAGCAGAGCGAAGTAAATCTGCGCTCTCGTTTATATTGTTTAGCCTAAACTAGGACATCAGCACACACTGAGACATACTGGACATTGTGTTGTGGCTCCCAAGGTGGCTTGATTTTTGAGTGGTTTGGCTCTTCTTATCATTTGTGTTGTGACTCCTGACCTAACCTGGCTTTAATGCAGAGGGAGCCGGTCGGATTTCTCGCTCATCCAGTTGTGTTTTTGTTATGTGCCGCCACAGACTGTCCGGGCGCTGCACTTCCCCACTTCCAAGTTCCGCCTTTTGCGTTCTGTCAACATTACATTATAAATTAAATATTTAAAAAATCGATTTTTGACATTTATGAATCGATTCAGAATCGTTCACGTCCGCATCGCGATGCATCTAAGAATCGAGTTTTTCCCTCACCATTTGTTTGCATTTGTTTGTTGTATTTGGTTCCATATTCAACCCTTTTGAAAATGGTTCTATATAGCACCAAATAGCGTTCTTCTATTGTTATAAGCTTGACATCATAACAATAGCAGAACCCTTTTTGGCGCTGTATCAAACCATATACAACACGTTTCCGATCAATCTGAAAAACCGTTTCACCATATAAAAAACGTGCAAAGGGTTCCTTGAGTGTTCATGATTCTATACACACTTAAACAGATGTTAAAAAGATGTTCTAGGGTTCTTTAGTAAAGAAAATAGTTCTATATAGAACCATGAATGCTCATTGCATGATTAAAGGGTTCTTCACATCATTAAATGGTTCTTCAGATTGATGGAGAATGTGCTGTAGATGGTTCTTTGAAGGGAACCCGAAAAAGTTCTTCAATTGTTACAGGAGTGACACTGTAACAATAGCAAAACGCTGTTCAGGGCACCATTAATGCTCAAAGAAGAACGTCTGGATTTGTTTGGTGTGATATAGAACATGTACAACACATTCTCCATCTTCTTTGAGCATTCATGGTTCTATATAGAACCGTTTTCTCTACTAAAGAACTCTTGAAGAACAATTATTTTCAAGAGTGATACTGGGAAAACATTTCTCTTTTTTTTAAGATTAAGAGACCCTTATTAGTCCCACAACCGAGAAATTTCACCTCCACATTTAACCCATCCGTGCAGTGAAACACCACATACACACTAGTGAACACACACACTAGGGGGCAGTGAGTACACTTGCCTGGAGTGATGGGCAGCCCTATCTGCGGTGCCCAGGGAGCAGTTGGGGGCTAGGTGCCTTGCTCAAGGGCACCTCAGTCACATACTGTCAGCTCAGCAGATCGAACCAGCGACCTTCCGGTCACAGGGCTGGTTCAAATAAAACAGTTTAGTACACTGTGCAATCATTAGTTCAAAATATACCATTTGCTCCAAACAGCCCACATATGGAAACTAAAATTTCATTTGAGTCAATCAGGCCAGATTCATAA